ACTGATGCTGTCGTTTTTCTTGGGCGAACAGTCATCTAGAGTTCATCTTCAAGTCAGGCAACTGTTTAGGCGCACAACCTTAGTAACAGCACAGTGGAGCACTCTTACTCCATAAACACATGGATAAACTTCTGTTTCTACAAAAGACCCTGAGTCCTTCCAGACAGAGACATACCCCCTTTTCTATTTGTATTAATATTTTCAATTGAGAATTGATTATGGACCGAATCGTGACACCTAGAATCAAAACTCAATTGTGAGATTCTCATCCCTATTTGTTAACCCTTTGGATTTGTTTCAAACATGTATGGTTGTCTGACGGCTCGTGTTTCCTGCCAAGTCTGATTTGGGTTAAGCAGTACCACCACATTCCAAGATCTCAGCTATTTTCTTGTTTGCGTACAATTTTTGTGCGTACATACAACAGATGGCCGTACTGAAGATCCAAGTTGTAATAAACCAGAATTACCTTTTAAGGGGAAAAGCTTAAAATGAGCAACGAGACAAGAGACAAAAGAGAACAAGTGCACTGCAAAGGATGGGCGGTGGAGGAGAGGGGGAGGGTACAAGGAAAGAAAGAGTATTAATTAACAGAGAGGGTGAAAACATAGGAACAGCAGTGCATCATTTCTTTGCATATAAACATAAACATCTAAAAAAAATAAAATGAAAAATAATCAGATGCATTGGTCAAACATACCGTGGCAAAAATTATATTTATGAATACACAAGCCACCATACATTGGCGCACAACACACACACACACACATATACACACAGCTTCACTCACCATGATATAATGGCGCTGCATCTCTGACTTCTCACTGGCCAACTTGTCACACTCAAGCTTCAAACTGGGGAGAGAGGGAGAAGAGAGGAGCACTGAGTCAGACCTTGTTAGTCAGCTTGACAGTCTTCCTTCTAAAGTGCTGACACCAGGTGACTTCTACCCTCTTCATCATCATTACCTCCACTTTCACCAACAGCACTGTCATCACTTTCATCATCACTTCAACCCTCATCACTGCCTCCACCTTCATCATCTTCTGCACCACCTGCATTTTCATCATCTCGGCTACCATTACCATCTTTATCATCATCGCCATCTCTGTCATCATCATCATCATTACCGTCGTCATCATCCTCACCTTTACTAGCCAGTGGCGGCGTTTTCACAGAGCTTGGCAAGGTGTCGATTGACAGGAGAAAGGTCAAACTCATTCTGAACTCCAGAGATCTGTCTAGCCAAAATGTCTGCTTTCTAAATCAGAGGAGAGGCAGTGAAGTAAAAAGTCTAAATATAGTGTTGGAGCGTTTCCTGCGACCCAGTCCCTGCGACAGCCATTAGCTGTAATCATGTCAGTGCTGATGTCACGCGAGGCGACAGGACAAAGGAGGACGCGTCAACAAGTCACCCTGATAGTCAAATGAAAAAGACAGAGGGGGGGAAAAAAAAGGGAAAAGAACTTCCCTCGGTGCCTTTGATTGAAGCAGCCAGTTACAACGTGCCGGTCTCAGAAGGCATCATCCGATGTGAGGACTGGATAAGACTCAGATCAAATAAAGATATGCGCAGGCACACGGTGGATAGTTTCAGATTTAGGATAAGTCTGAAACCTGTTTGATGGTGTGTGTGTGTGTATTTATGCTGGGATGTTCTTCTCAGTTGTCTGCGGGAATGACAGCTCGATTACACAGCACTGGCTGAATCTTCAACGCTGTTAGTCTTAACTAGCAGACTGAACACAGTGTTACACATGGCTAAAAATGTGAGCTTACTCATACACACACTATTTTGCCTTTTTATGTAATTATTGTAGCAGCTGCAGTGTTATCTTTAGGTTTGGTTAAGAGATCACCTATTGGATTGGATGGATAAACACTGAAACATACAGTATTTAATTAAGTATCTTATTTAATATTCAAAAGACAATTTTAATATAATTGCAGTTTTTTCTTTATTTTATTTGTTCTTCAGAGTATTCCTGAAATCCATCTATTTTATACCCCCACATAGGGACTAGAACTTAATTCATTACGCAAAAGAGGGACACTCTTGAGGTTGTTCATTGTAGGGCTAACACAAAACAAACACGTTCACATGAAGGGACAAAACCCTATGGAGCAATCCCTCCATAAACCCTCCAAACTCCATAAAGAAAAGACAAGGGTGTATATTTAAACTTAGGACCTACTTGTTGCAAAATATCACTGCTGCTATGCTGCCCAGTTTAGAAACTACTGCTTGACATATTTATTTAGAAAAAGAGAACACAGAAATCAGACATGTAATGACCCAGAATCTGTCTGTCCTCATGGTGCTCTTAAAAACACAGAACCTCTTTCCACATATAAAAGTTAATAGCCTAATATCAGCATCCTGATGTCACTGATCAATTACCTTGTCCCAGGAGCTGTTTTTTTAATATGCCTTCAAAAATTAAATGAGGACAATCGATGGCCTCATGCGCAATTAATCATTTGAAATTATCTTTAATTGTGGTACATTAAAGTAACAATGTTTTTAAAAATCCCCAATCATGCTGTAATTATTCTGCCTAGCAGTAATACTGGAGATACGATGTTACGGCTGTGATGTTTCTGCACTGCACTGGCCAGAGATTACTTGGCAATAAAGGAATGTAAGCAGTATCCCTTCAGAAACCCCTAATGCTTCATGCATAAAGAATCAAATCTAAACCCCTGAAAGGCTTTTACTGGAAAGCAGCAACACTTATTGTCGACTGTCACCGAGGCTAACAGCTAGAGGCTAACTCCTTTTTCAATACACGCTGCATCTACATGTAGACATGGATCAGCTTTCAAAACTTTTAAGGAAGGAATGGAGAACAGATGTAGCCTGAACTCAACCAGTTTGATAAAGACGTGACAGGTAACAGGTGCTTGGACGAGACCCTGATGTCCAACACATCACCATGGCGAGGGACGTGTTCTGCCGTGTGCAAACAGAGTCAGTCTACTTTACTGGATGATCGTGGTTTCTTATACCATGGCACGCAACAGGCAGGGGACTGGGGGAATGTTTCTTTGTCGGGGGTGATGAGCAGGTTTATTCTGCCACCTATTCTTGTGTGTGGAAGAGCAGCCTCTACTTATCCAAAACGCTCCCCTCTCCTCCTACATAAAACCCTTCCTGCTATCCCTGTGTACATGCGTAGGCTGTGTGGTGGGTTGTCATGACGACAGGCCTCCCTGCTGCCGGCCTACCTGGGATTGGCTTTGTGCCTCCCCTGATTGGTGCTCAGCAGCCCCCGGGCCTGCACCGCTGCTCTCAAACGACACTTTGATGGAGTTTTATTGCCGATTCTTCCGTCTCTAAATCGCTCCTGCTGTCATCTTTATTTTGATTTATGTATTCCCTGATCTATTTATGCATGTGAACGAGGGGAGGGGAGAAGAGGTGGGAGAAAGAGGAGAAGAGGAGGGGGGTGGATAGAGGAAGACAGCGACAGCTACAATGCTTGCTACTATACCCGGGGGAACGCCTGCGGTACATTTGCCTTTTAAAGGCTTCAGCAACAGACAAGCACAGCACAGCAGCAAAGAGCTACAAAGCCTCGTCTGTGGCTCCCAACCCCCAACCCCCCACCCCATCCCAGCCCCCCTCCTG